TTAGGGACAACGTGATTATCCATGACAACTCTGCCTAATGGATTTAAATTTAAAACTGGGCTTCCGGAGTGGAAATTGTATAATTCGTGACTTTTTCCTGGCTCCGAGACAAATTTTGGATGGTCCTTTCCACTTACGTGATCCCAGCTGTGGTTGTCATTGCTCGCAAGGCCTGCAGATCTAGGAGTCAGGTCACCCTCCACAAGTGCTCTCAAGGAGCCTGAGCTTGCCTTGAAGATGTCATGGATTCTTTTAGGGAAAACATGATTCACTGAAGGGATGATTGTTTAAAACATCTGAAATTCTCTAACAATTATCCTGACTACACAGATAAGCTCATGTGTGACAGGCAGGAGTAAGCCTGATGTCCCTATAAGGACTGTCCTAGTGGGGCACACTGGATTAATAATGGGCATTTAAGAATCATGGATCAGGCTGGGGTTGTGGCTCGAAGGTGGAGCTCTTACCTAACATGCATGAGGCACTGGGTTAGATCCTCAGCACCACATAAAAATAAAATAAAGATATTGTGTCCACCTATAACTAAAAATAAATATTAAAAAAAAAGAATCATGGATTACTCGGGCTGGGGTTATGGCTCAGCAGTAGAGTGCTCGTCTAGCATGGGTTTGATCCTTAGCACCACATAAAAATAAATAAATAAAATAAATGCATTGTGTCCAATTACAACTAAAAAAATATTTTTTTTTTAAATCATGAATCACAACAGACTCAATTTGATCTTTGGTTGTCGGGGAGTGTTACTTGAAATGGACAGGTTCCTTCAGAGGAGTCAGATCTTGCAAAGCAGTCTGGAACATCCCTCAGGGAAATGGAGTGACTGTGTTTATCCAGGAGAGGCCAGATCTTTGTCCCCATTCCTGCAGGGTTAGGTTTTGCTGATAGGGTTATAAAGACCTCAGCAGAAGTCTTTGGTTGATGTGGGGTCAATGTACAATGTTTATAAGCCTGGCATCTGGTATAAATTTTGTAAGAGAAATTTACACATCAGAGGGATATGCAGATATATTTATCTTTTAACACTTAAGCCAGTTATTAAATCCCATCCACAATCAATTAAATTCAAAACAGTTATCTATTGTCTGGACAAAATGCACCAGAGAGCTTTGTTTGTTTCCTAAAGTGGCAAAAGACCACTAGAGTCAAAAGTGGTAGGATGAAGATAAGGGACATTATGTCAGTTAAGGGAGGTGGCCCAGGTACCATGACAGACAAGAAAGTCAGCAGAGAAAAGGAAAGAAAACAGTGTGCTAAAAAGCCAGAAAAGTCATTCTCCCCGCTCTCCATCAAAAGCTGATTCTGTAGTTAGTAAGTTGTCACGCTGTTTTGGACAGGAGGCAAATTACTGTAAATTAACAGCTTCTGAGGAATTTCTAAAAAATCTTAAGCTTGAGGACTCTTAAAGGAACAGTCTTCCAGTAGTTGGGATGCAAGGTTTAGATACATGTTTTAGCTGGAGACATGAAGCCAGGGTTAAACTTTTGGAGTCTTTGTGCTGTGCCTTTATAACAGTACCCAGTGATGTTCTTTCCATCAGGGTCTAAGGGCTTTTTTTCTGTTGTCTTTTCCAAAACAACAAAAGTCTCGGGTTCAGATCACACAGAGGCTGCTTAGGGGGCTATTTGGAAACTAGAGCTTCCTGGCAATCTTCCCCTCAGATTGTAACAGGACAGAATCGAGGACTAGAAGCAATCCTGAATGCACGGGGCAGCCTCTTCTGTCCCAGAAGGAGATAATGTGCTTGACCTGCAGGAGGCTGAGCTCACCGTGGTCAGGCCAATGGAATCCAGTGGCCCTTGGTCATTTGAGGGCTTTTAAATTCCTTTAGTCCTCATCACTTTTTGTGGTGTTTGTTGATGATAAGGACAGAGAAGTTTCCATGTAGAAGGTAAAACTTCACTGTTATTTACTAATTATACCAGTGAAATATGTGTCTGCCTCTCTTCCTGGAAAGGAGAGCTGGGATTTCCCAAATTGGGAAAACAAAATGAAACAAAAGTTTTATACCATCATAGACATGGCGCTCCAGCAAAGAAAAGCCTTAGTACATTCTGAGAATAGACGACAATAACCAGAACATCTTCATAGGCCTGTAGGAGAAGTTCAAAGTGGTCTCCAGCCGTGGGTCATCACATTTTACTTGTCTAGCCTTAGCATGATTGTGCCAATCTGGGCAGGGCATGCATTGGGACATCTTTGGAAATACCCTTTAATCATCCCTTGGATGTTGGTTTAAGATCATTGTCAGTTTATCTCTGCTCTTGTAGTAATATCATGAAGAAGCTTTGCTAAACTTTATTTTCATTATAGCTCTCTCCCTAGGTAATGGCAAGTAGCTCAAGGTTTCTTATCCATCGTCTATTTTAGAGAGGTTTTTCTTTCTTTCTTTTTTTTTTTTTTTAGTCTCAGGAGATCTTTTTATTTCTAAAGTGTTTTGAATGCATGGACTGACTCATCTAAATTCACGTACCTTAAATAAATATAAGTATGTTTCCTTTTATCTTTTGTCAGCTGGCAGGTCTGTGGGAGGGCAATTGATTTAGCCATTGGAACTTATTTTATTTATAGGAAAAGCTGCATTTCAAGGGAAACGTCAACAATAACATAACCTACATGACAATTCCTAGCTTTTGTGTTTTAGTATGAACCAACATCAAAGTTAAGTCAGAGGTATCCAAAGAGACTCTAGAAGTTTCCTGTAAGATATGGATAGTTCCCTCACAGAGGTACCCAATCATAGGCACATTTTTCTACAGATGAGGAAAGGAGGATCACTGGGTTTAGAGTGTTGGCAACGCATGCTGATGTTTCATGAATAATAAAACTTCATGAGAGATTGGGTAACTAAGCAATCCAGAATTATCTTTCTTTTACTTTTTTCCCTACTGGAGGTTGGACTCAGGACATTCTACCACTGAGCTACATCCCCAACCCTTTAATTTTATACATATATATATATATAATTTATTATATTAATATTATACATAATATTAATATAATAAATATATTTTATTATATAAAATATTTTATATATATATTATATATATAATTTTTTTAGATAGGATTTTGCTAAGTTGCCCAGGCAGGCTTTGAACTTGTGATTCTCTTGCCTCAACTTCTTGAGTGTCTAGGATTATAGGCATGTGCCACTGCACCCAGCTTGTAATAGTTTAATACTTTTAAATGTCAAAGGATATTTAGATTTCTAATTGTTCCCTTTGTCCTTTTTGTCATAGGGTAAAGAAGAAAATCTTTGTTAGTGACCATTGTAATAAACTCAAAGATAGTTAAGGCTCCAAATAGCTTGATTATTCCGATTTGGGGCCCTGAATTTGTGAATAAAAGAATCAAGAATAGTTTCTCGAGGACACAGATACAAGGCATATATATCTAGGGTCAAGAAATAACTATAGGCAACATTGTGAAAACACAGAGTTAACAATAGTTAACAGGAATTTTTATTTTTGTTAAAATAAGAAATCTTTTTAAAAATTATTTAAAACTATGTCAAAAGGATTGAAAGTTAACAATATTTTATGTTGCAAAGAAACCTTTATTCACACGGACATAAAAACTTAATCATTTTATATTTTAAAAGACCCAAATTCTAATTTTACTTTTTGTACATTATTCATTAATAATCTGTAATAAAGACTCTATTAATATGCCTTTACATGTATCAATTTAGGCACACACAACTATATAAGTAAACAAATAAGTAATGAATTTGAAGTGTTAACTACAGCTTTTAAATTAAATCTACTAAATAAATCAATGTGTGTCATATTAAATTTACTATCTCTATAAATAGTTTCAACTTTACTAACGTTCCTAATTAACCAGAAAATCATATTCATTATCCTGTACGTATATTTGTATTTCTTTATATATTAGTCACCTTTCCATTACTATAATAAAATACTTAAGGCAATTAGCTTATAATAAGAGAAAAGATTTATTTTGGTGGTTCCAGTCCATGATTAAATGGCTGATTTGGGTCTCAGAATACTAAGAGAGGAGTACATGGTAGAGCGAATTGCTCATCTCATTAGCCAGTAAGGGGGAAAAAAAAAAAAGGAAGAAGAGATCAGGGTTTCCAATCCCCTTCCAAGGGCTCGTCCCCTGCGACTTAAGGATCCTCCACTAGTCCCTGTCTCCTAAAAGTCTGTGGCACCTCTCAATAGCCCCACCCTGTGGAACAAGACCATGAACCTTTGGGGTTTACTATCCATATTCAAATCATAGCACTCTGAATTAACCATTTATATTAATAATCATCTTTCACCCAAGTTGTCAACCTTCCTTTTCTATACACACAGAGAGAAATGGTTTAGATGATGTCTAGTAACATTTATTTCATACACTTTAAGCAATTTTGATGTATAAACATGTACTATCATTCAAAGGCTTCTGCTTATTTTGTTAGTCTATTGCCATTAAAAAAAATAAAGTTAAAAACGATCTTAATAATCAGTATTTGTATCTTTTCCTTATTTAGAAATCACCTAGGCAAACTTTTTAATTAACCCTTTGTCTAAAACCTTAAAGTTAGTTAAGGATCAGGAAATAGAATTTTAGCTAACACATTAAATCCTCATGACTTATCACATTGTAAGAATTTCATAAAATTAAACCTTTGAAAGGGCATTCATTAGTATTAATATAATTTTTATATGTATAATATTAGTTTTAAATAAGTTATGAAAATAGTAGAAGTATACGACCAATGTAGGAAATCCAGTTTAATCAAAAGAATTTCAACCCTGGCCTTGTCCAAATCAAAATACTGTGCTGTTATTAATTTTCATAGTAAGGTAATTTTCTGAAGACTGTGACTCATGGCAAAAAATTATACTTCTTTTAACTTGAAGATCATGCTTTTTTTTTTCTTTTCTTACAATAATGAAGACTCTCATGCAAATATACTTTCAAGCTCCACAGAAAGATACAAAGTTTAATAACTCTTTTTTTTTTCCCAGAGATTTTGACTGGTTATCTGGATCTTCTAAGAATGTGCACATAAAAAGTGAAGGACTCTTGGGTAAGGTGACCATTAATTTCCTAGGACAGGAGAACAGAGGGGAAGCGGAATAGAGAAAAAGAGGAGCCTGCTTCAGATGAAAAAGAAAATTAGCACTGAAAAAGCCTAATTAGGCGCCCTCCGAAAAGAGAGGGAATAAAGTTATCTAGAGAAGAGCAAATTACAAAGATAACACACAAAAAAACTTGTATTAAAAATGATTTAAGGGGCTGGGGTTGTGGCTCAGAGGTAGAGCGCTCAGCTAGCATGCATGAGACACTGGGTTTGATCCTCTGCACCACGAAAAGATAGAATAAAGGTATTGTGTCCACCTACAACTAAAAAATAAATATTTTTCAAAAATGATTTAGGTCTTTGGCAACTTTACCAATTAACATAATTGAAAAGTCAGCACTTAATAATCCCCAAAGAAGGGACATAAAGGGCGGCTACTGTGTCTCCGACTCTAAACAAAAGAATCTCTCAGAAAAAAAGAAAAAGGAAAAAAAAAAAAAAAAAGAATATCTCTTGGTAAACAAGACAATCTTCTCATGAAGATCTCTTCACTTTTTGTTTGAAAGTGTCCCTCATGTAAATAGTCTATATCAGGGTCCCCCGAAGTAGCCGTTGCAATTTCAGATTGTCACTGGTGAAATTGTACCCATCAGAGGGACATAACCACGTAGACCCGGGTTACAGGGAGGAAGCTGAAGGCAGAGGTGTCTGGCCTGGAGGAGGGCAGTTTCCGGTTGAGCAGAGCCCACTAACGCTGCAGTGGATTGTAAAGGTGGCTCCTGTCGGACTTTGTGTCTCTAGAATTTGGGCAAAGGTCACTTGTCTCCAATCAGGGCTAAAAAATAAATGAAATAAAGTAGTTCTCACAGTCACAAAGATAAGGCAGAGGAAGTTCTTAAAGTTTTGAAATGATGACACAAAGTTTATCCAAAGGACAGTTTGTGCAAAGAATGCTGAACTCCCAGCCCAGGGGTCAGATGGACGGCAGACTTAGGGGGCTTCTGCTTGGCCATTCCTTATAGATTTTTTCCTCTTACTGACAAACAACATTCAGGACAATAGATCATAAAAGAGATGCTAGAAGCTAGAAAACAAACTTTCCAACTTATCAGATTTACAAGTCCAATCATAACTAAAACCTTCAGAAGATTTATTCCTAGGAGAGAAAGATGAACACTCCGCTGAAGGTTCTCACAAACTGTTAGCTCTCCTTTCAGGGTGAACTTCTCTCAGCCATGGGCAGGGGTCTCAGAGGTATGCCCAGAGGGGAGGGCACTTGTTCCAGGCAGCAAGGACTTCAGGTGGATCTTGGTGAAACTCTATTCCTGTCACTGTTCCCCAGCCTGGGACCCCTGACACACACTTGTAATTGAATAAGCCGCCTTCATTACTAATTGAGGTGGGGCCCCTGAGGGTCTTCTCCCACTTTCCTGAGATTATTTCTGCAGCTATGGAGTGTGGACAGGTTGCAGGGGTGAGGGGGAGGGGGGAGGACCTTATGGATCTAACAAAAGAATTATGGAGCAGTTCTTTTGAGATGAAATTCTGTAACCATCCCAGGATATTCGGTTCAAACCACACTTAAACTTTTAATTTTAGTTAATCTTTTCTTTTTGAGATAATTACATATTCCTATACAGGCGTAAGAAATAACACAGAAATCCCTTGTACCCTTTTTCCCTGTGGTAACTTCTTGTAAAACTATAGTATAATATCACAAACAGGATATTGACTTTAATACAATTAATGATACATAATAGTTCCACTACTATAAAGATTTCTCAAATTGTCCTTTTATAGCTACATCTACTTTCTTCCTACCCTTGCTGCTTTCTTAATTCCTGGCAACTACTGATCTAATCTTCTCACTTCTATGATTTTGTCATTCCAAGTGTGTTATATAAATGGACTCATACTGCAGGTGATCTTTTGAGATTGTTTGTTTTTTCATGCAGCACAATTCCCTGGAGATTTATCCTAGTTATTTTATGTATCAATAGTTCTCTTTCATTGCTGAGTAATATTCCATGGTATATATGTACCACAGTTTGTTTAACCATTGAAGGATAGCTGGGTATTTCAACTTCGGGGCTACTACACATAAAGCTGCTGTAATCACTCATAGACAGGTTTTCTTTTGAAAGTAAGTTTCACTTCCCTGGTGTAAATGCCTGGGACACAATTATCGGATTATATGGCAGTTGCATGTTTAGTTTTAAAGAAATTGCTGAAATTGTTTTCCAAAATGACTGTATGTATCATTTTACATTATCACCAGTGATATATGAGTGATCCAGTTTCTTTGTAAATGGTGATGTCACTATTTTACATGTTAGCCATTCTAATAGGTTCATAGTGATATTTCATTGTGATTTTAATTTACATTTCCCTAAGGTTTAGTGATATCAATCAATCGTTCATGTGCTTGTCTGTTATGTGTATATTCTCTGAAATGTCCCCTTATGTCTTTTGTACATTTTCTAATCATATTTGGGGGAGGGGGTGCTGGGGATCAAACCCAGGGCCTTGTGCATACAAGGCAAACACTCTATCAACTGAGCTATATCCCCAGACCTCTAATGGTATTTTTAACTGTTAAGTTTTGAGAGTTCTTCATATATTCCTTTGTTAAATATGCAGTTTGCAAATATTCTCATACCATCTGTAGCTTGTGCTTGTGTCCCTTAATAGGACTTTTTTGTAGAGCAAAAAGTTTTCATCTTGATGAAGTCCAATTTGTTGATTTTTCTGTTTTTGGTTCTGCCTAGCTCTAGATTCCAAAGATTTTTCTCCTGTTTTTTTCCTAAATATTTTATAATTTTACATTTTGCGTTAAGTTCATGTTTCATCTTAATTAATGTTTGTTTAAGGTGTGAGGTTTAGTTCAAGGTTTATACTTTTGCTCACGGGCATCCTATTGCTCGGCGTCTTTGAAAGACTCTTTTCTCCAGTTAATTGCCTTTTTCATCTTTGTCAAAAATCACTTGGGCATATTTGTGTAAGTGTATCTCTGGGATTTCTATTCTGTTCTATTGATCTTCTTGTCTATTCTTCAGCCCGTACCACATAGTCTTGATTACTGTAGCTATAAAATAAGTCTTGAAATTAGGTAAATGGATTGTTCCTGCTTTATTCTTTTTAAAATGTTTTAGTTATGCTAGTTCCTTTGCCTTTCCATGCAAATTTTAGAATAATCTTGTTCATTTCTAAAAAAAAAAAAATCTGACTGGAATTTTATTGAGATGTGCATTAATTCTTTCCATCAATTTGGAGAAGGCTGACAATATTTATGCTGTTGAGTCTTCCAATCCATGAACAGGGCTGTTTCTCTGTTCCTTTAGAACTTTGTTTTCTTTCATCAGCATTTTGTAGTTTTCAGCAGGAAAGTCCTGTACAAGTCTTGTTAGAGTCATACCTAAGCATTTCATCTGGTTTTTGAGTGAGTATAAAGGGATTGCATTTGTGGGCTGGGGTTGTGGCTCAGTGGCAGAGCACATGCCTAGCATGTGTGCTGCACTGGGTTCTATTCTCAGCACCACATAAGAATAAATAAATAAATAAAATAAAGGTCCATTGACAATGAAAAAAATATTTTTTAAAAAAGGGATTGCATTTGTAATTTTAGTGGGTCTACGTGTTCCCTTTTGATATTATGGGAAGATAATTAATTTTTGTATGTTTCTCTTGTATTCTACAATTTCGCTGCATTCACATATTAGTTCTAGAAGGTGTGTGTGCATACATGTGTGTGTGTGTGTGTGTGTGTATGCATGTGTTTTGCAGATAGATCCCTTGATATTTTCTATATATACAATTATGTCATCTGAAACTAGAGGGTATTGTGTTTCTTCCTTTCTGATCTGTGTGATATTTATTTCTTTTTTGCCTTATTTCACCAGTTAGAATTTACAGCACTATATTGAATAAGAGCAGTGAGACTGAACATCCTTGTATTGTTCCTAATCTGAGGGGAAGGCTTCAGTCTTTTTCCATTACCTGTAGGATTTTCATATATATTTTTTTTTCTCAAGTTGAGGAAATTCTTCTCTATTACTCTGTTTCTAAGGGATTTGATCATGAATGTTGTCATATGCTTTTCGTATTAATTTATGTGATCAATGTGGTTTTTCTTCTTTAGTCAGTTAGTATGGACTACTTGACTATTTTTGAATATCAAATCAGTTTTGTATCCATGGAATAAATCCCAATTGGTCCTGGTATATAATTCTTTTTACACTGTGATAGATTTTATTTATTAATATTTTGCTAAGTGTATGTTGCATCTATATTCATAGAGGATATTGACCTGTAGGTTTTGTTTTGTTTTGTCTTATTTTATGTTGTCTTTGTGTGGTTTTGGTATCAGAGTAGTAATGACTTCATAAGATAAATAGAAAGCATACTCTTTCATGCAAATTTTAGAATAATCTTGTTTTTTTTTCTATTTTCTGGAAGAGAAAGTGTGTAATTGATGTTAATTCTTACTTAAATAGTTGATAGAGTTCTTTTGTGAAATCATCTGGATCTAGAGATTTCTTTTTTGAGAATATTAAAGTAAACATTTTTAATTCCCTTAATAGTTATTGAGCTATTCAAATCACTGATTTAACATTGGGTAAGCTGGGACACTTTATATTTTAAGAGGAATTAGTCCATCTCCATTAGTCCATGGACTAATTCCTCCTAAAATACAAAGTGTCGAATTATATCTGTAGAGTTGTTCATAGTATTCTGTTGTGATTCTTTCTTTGTCTCAGATTCGTTTAGTGATATCTCTTGTTTCATATAATGGTAATTTGTTGTTGCTCTATTTTTTACAGACTCTCTAGAGGTTTGCCAATTGTATTGATCTTTAAAATAACCCTCATTTCATTGATTTCTCTCTATTTTTGTTTCTAATTTCATGACTTCTACTCTTTATTTCCTCCTTCCTTGGATTTGTTTTGTTGGTGGTAGTTTTTGGTTTTTTTTTTTATGGCTTTATTTTTAGTTTTTTTGTTTTGTTTTGTTTTGGGTACCAGAGATTGAACCCAGGAGTGCTTAACCACTGAACCACATCCTCATCCCTTTATCTTTTTATGTTTTATTTTGAGACAGGCACTCACTATGTTGCTCAGGGCCTTGCTAAGTTGCTGAGGCTGGCTTGAAGTGGAACTTACCTTATTGATTTGAGACGTTTTTATTTTATAATATATACATTTAGTATTATATAGTTTCCTCTTAATATCACTTTTACTGTCTTACAAATTTTGTTATACTTTCATTTTTATTCAATTAAATATATTATTTAGCTTCCCTTGAGATTTCCTGCAAAAGAAAGAAATTAAAGGGATATGAATAGAAAAAAAAAAAAAAGAGCTCAAACTATTTCCATTTGCCTTGAGACTTTCTCTTTGACCCAGGAATTATTTAGAATTTTCTTTTTAGTTTCCAGGTGTTGATAGATTTTCCTCCTTTCTGCTGTTGGTTTCTAGCTTGATTCCATTGTGGTTAGAGGACCCATTCTGTATGATTTCAATTTCTTTAAACCTGTTGAGATTTGCTTTGTATCCTGAGATGTGGCTTATCTTGGTGTATGTTCTGTGGTCACTTGAAGAGAATGTGCATCCTGCTCTTGTTGGATGACGTGTTCTCTAAGTGTCAAATAGATTCTGTTGGTTAGGGGTGTTTTCGGTTTTTCTGTATTCTTGCTGAGTTTTTGTCTATTTTCTCTATTCATTGTTCAGTGAGGGCCTTGAGGTCACCAACTGTAATTGTGGATTTATTCAATTCTCCTTTCAATTCTGCCAGCTTTTGCTCCACATATCTTGCAATTCTTGTTTGACTAATACCCTTTTGGAACTTGTGAGTCTTCTTGGTAGACAATGCTCTTATCTTTATATAATGCTCCTCTTTGTCTCTGATAACTTGCTTTGCTCTGTAGTTCACTTTATCTTACACTGATAGAGCCATTCCTAACTTTCTTTGATTTGAATGACATGTATTTTCCTTTCCTGTTACTTTCAACCTGCCAATACCGCTATTTGAGGTGAATTTCTTGTAGAGAGTAGATAGTTGGGTCATATTTTTTTATAATCCAGTCAGCCAATCTCTCTTTTAATTGGTATACTTAGACCATTTATATTTAATTGGATATTGGGGATAAATTTGCCATTTTTTTTCTGTTTTCTGTTTGTCTCATCTTTTCCCTGCCTTCATGTTGGTTATTTGAAATCTTTTGTAATTCCATTTTTATTTTTCTGTAGGGTTTTTGAGTACATCTCTTCGTATAGCTTTTTTCTTGATGACCTACTTGTCTCATTATGCAAACATTACTCATCACAGTCTATTAGCACCATAATTTTATCCATTCAGATGAAGTGAGGAAACTTGACCTTCCTTTATGTCTCTTTAGTCTTCCTCATGGATAATATAGTTATCTTAAATAATTCCTCTACATCCATATAAAACCCCATCGGAGTGTATTAAGAAGGGAAGTCTACTTTTTCTGATTGCTCTAAGTTTTATTCTTGTTTTTAATTCCCTCCTGTTTAAAGGGCTACCTTTACCCTTTCTTTTATTGTAGTTCTGGTGGTTAAAAAGCAAACAAATAAACAAAACAAATCCCTTAGTTTTCTCGCCATCTGAGAAGTCTTTGTCTCCCCTTTATGCCTGAGGGATATTTTTGCTTGATAGAGAATTCCAGTCTGGAAGGTCTTTTAAGCACTTGAGAAATGCCATGCCATTTCCCTTTGCCTCCCACGAGTTCTGATGAGAAATCTGCTGTCCAGGGGATTCAGGCTGCAGTATCGCAGGAAGGCACTCATACCAACATGAGCACGAGGCCAAAAGTTCCCCAAGTTGGAGGCTCCAGCCAAATAATGGTTATTCTCTATATCATACATTAGGAAACTTATCATGAAATATAATACAGCCTATTGTAAAGACATACCAATATTTTTCAATTTGAGATTCAAGGAAAATCTACTATTTCTCTCTATTTCATTACATTTCTCTACTATTTCATCACAACCCGGAAAGATGTAATCGATGAGCAAGAAGGAAAAAGAAAATGCCTAAAGTAACTTTTTGTGTATGTTCCTTTTTAACACAGCTGGGAGAGAAAACTCATGTCCTGGCTTCTGTCCAGCTCCACATCAGAAATGGCATCAAATGAAACCCAGGACATGGGGAACTGCACGACTGAAACCTTCAAGAGACAATTTTACCCCATCACCTACCTAATCATATTTGTCTGGGGATCCTTGGGAAATGGCTTGTCCATATATGTTTTCCTGCAGACTTATAAGAAATCCTCATCTGTGAATGTCTTCATGCTCAACCTGGCCATTTCCGATCTCCTGTTCACAAGTACTCTGCCCTTCAGGGCTGACTACTATTTCAGAGGCTCCAACTGGATATTTGGGGACCTGACCTGCAGAATCATGTCATACTCCTTATACGTCAACATGTACACCAGCATTTATTTCCTGACTGTGCTCAGCGTTGTGCGTTTCCTGGCCACCGTTCACCCCTTCCGGCTTCTCCATGTCACCAGCTTCAGGACGGCTTGGATCCTCTGTGGGATCATATGGCTCTTTATCATGATTGCCTCAGGAATGCTGCTGAAGAGAGGCTCCGAGCCAAAGGGCGAGCTCATATCATGCTTGGATCTGGATCCAAAAAAAATTAACAATCTGCTGATCATGAACTACGTTGCCTTGGTGGTGGGCTTCCTGCTGCCGTTCTTCACACTCACCATCTCTTATCTGCTGATCATCCGAGTCCTGTCGAAGGTGAAGCTCTCGGAATTGGGTCTGCGGGCTTCTCACAGGAAGGCTATGATCACCATCATCATCACCTTGATCATCTTCCTCCTGTGTTTCCTGCCTTATCACTCGCTGAGGACCCTCCACCTGGTCACCTGGGATGAGAAGGTGTGCAGGGACGGGCTGCACAAAGCCGTGGTCATCACATTGGCCTTGGCGGCAGCCAACACCTGCTTCAATCCTTTCCTCTATTACTTTGCTGGGGAGAATTTCAAGGATAAATTAAGGGCTGTGTTCAGAAAAGAACACCTACGGAGGGCAACGACAAAGTGCAGCTCTCCTGTTTGTGCGTGGCTGAAAACGGAAACGAGGGTGTAAGGTCCTTAGATGAGGCTCCTTCACGTACCATTGTGTCCACCTTCATTCACTCAGCATCCAGATGACATTGTCATTACGTCACTCTTGACAAATGTGATGTCCATGTCTTATTAACCATGACCTTTGTTAATAAGACCTACTTAGGACATTTCATTGGGTGTAGTTTCAGTGGCTGAGTCTAAACGATGTAGGAGGAGAAACCCCCTAGTAGAGTCTTAAATGCTGAAATCTCAGACTGGGGGGAAAATGTCAAGCACAGTGGAGCCTGCTTTCCATCAGATTCTGTATCCAGATCTCTGGCCCATCAGGCATTCTACATTCTTAATTTTAAAACATCTCTAACTTCCCCAGCATATCCAGCTCCCCATCCCTATAAATCTTTGAGATACAGCCCATTACAAATATACCAGAGGCCCCAGAACATCACAAGTGCATCCCCAGAGAAGAAGTGCATCCTAAAATTCAGGCAGAGGCTGGGTATGGTGGGGCATGCCTGTAATCCCAGTGGCTCCACAGGCTGAGGCAGGAGGATTGTGAGTTCAAAGCCAACCTCAGTAACTTAATAAGGCATTTAGCAACTCAGCGAGACCCTGTCTCTAAATAAAATAGAAAAAGGTCTGGGGATGTGGGTCAGTGGTTAAGCATCCCTGGGTTCAATCCTGGGTACCAGAGGGGGGAGAAAAAAAGAATTCAGGCAAAGATATTGTGAAGAGAAAGGATGCCCTGTAACAAAGCAATTACCAAGGCCCCAAACAAGGACAGTGAGAGAGAAGCAGGGGGAAGGATTGAGGTCAGAGAGGGGAAAGAGGAATTTCATTTTGCCCTGGGAGAAGGGTTCTTGCACAATGAAGGCACAAGGAATGTTTCCCTTGCCTCTTTCTTGCTCTGGGGTTAGGAAGGACAGGAGGAGTAGGAGGGGGAGCCGGGGCACTATGTAGAGGGTGGAGAAATTAGGCATGGAACAGGCGAGAAGGCAGGGTCATGGACACTATCTGTTTTACTTTGAGACCTGGGTTTGGACTGATGTCACTGCAATCACTACTCCCGCTGTGGGTTCCCTGGGATGGGAGCCAAAGTAAAGGAGGTGATGCTAAGGGTTTGGATTGAGCACTCAGGGAAAGGGAGGAGTGGAAAGCCAGGTGCAAAGGCTGCTGCACCCCTGAAGTCCTGTTCATGCTTCAGCAGGACATGAGCAGAGAGTGGAAACTAAAGCACCGGACGTGGGAGGAGATCCTTTCTGTCCACAGAAACCAGGCTAAGGATCCTGCCAACCACTACCCACAACCACTATCAAGGACACTGCACTGCCAACAGCTGAGTGCCCTCCCTGTGCCAGGCAGACTGTGCCAGGCACTTCACATTCATTCCCCTCCCATCTCAACTCTGGAGGAGTTTTCATTTCACAGATGGAGAAATGGGAGCTCAGAGACTTTGAGAAGTGTGCCTCAGTTTAAACAGCTAGTGAGAGTTTAAAAACCTCCCTGCAGAAGGGCTGACCAGGTACTCTACCCACTGGACCCTTGCAAACCTCCAGGGACACTTTTTGGAAGGCTGAATAGGAGCTCCCCTCTCCCACCAGGAATATGCTCCTCCTCATTCTCACAAGAAAATAAAGATTTTTTTTTCTTTGGAGTTGATCCCTGACACAGTGGAGGGCTGGAGGGAAGTGATGTTCTGAAGCTCTGGAGCGACTAAGACAGCTTTCATGATAAAGTGAGGACCCAGTGCCCTTCCCTTATTTGGCGACCAGAATGATGACAGACAGATGCCTGTCAAGGCAGGACCCTGGGGCTTCTGCTTACAGGGAAACTACACAATCCTAGAAAAAAGGCTGACAGAGGTTGGGAATCCTCTAGCCTCAAAGCTGGACATCTGCTTTGTTTTCTACCTGACTTCAGAGCCTACAATGCAGTGAATCCCTTTCACTCACAAGAGCATCAAATCAACCTGTTATGACATCACCCCTGATTATGAACGGCCATCAGTGACCACTGCACACTTGAGGAAAAGGCCCTCATGTGAAAGACACCAGCAAATAAATGAGAGAGTAGATAGAGGCCTTTTCAGAATGAAAGACCTCAACATTTTTTATCATCCTTGCATTAATTATGATTAAATTTCATTTAATTTATTCATCTATTTGCAAGTTTCATTATTTTTTGTTCTACTCTGCATCTCTGAGATTCATCTGGGATCTTATCTTTTTGCCTAAAGATCTTTCTTCAATAGTTTTTTTTTTAACACAGCTTAATAAAATGATGAATTCTCTATTTTTTTTTCTTTAGCAAGAAAATATTTTCACTTTATCTTAATTCTGAAATATATATATATATATATATATATATATATATATATATATATATATATATAACAAATACAAATAACAGTGGAACAACTGGATGTCCATATGAAGAGGCTCAAGAATTTATTGGAACCCTCACCTCACACCATAAACAAAAACCAATTCAAAATTGATGAAAAATCAAAAAACCAAGATTCTTACAAGGGGATGTAAGTGTAAATTTTTGTGATCTTGTAGTGAGCAATGTTTCTTTTTTTCTTTTCTTTTCTTAATTTATTTTAATTAGTAAGTATATATGATAGCAAAATGCATTTTGACTCATTGTACACAATTGCAGTGAAAAAGAAACTTGATCAGAGAAGGAAAATAACCACAGTACACTACATGGCTCAGCTGTGAATAATAGTTACAAAGTGAGTCATATACATACAGAAATACTGTGATATCATTTTTTTCAGGAAATAGGGGAGATGATGTGCATGTGTGAGAGATGGGTGTAAGAAACCTGAGTTCCCATCTTTCATCAAAGAAAAAGCATCCCAGCTGGAGCTGGGAAATAATAAACAGCTGTACAGTATGTTATTTAGCGATAGGAGGTAAATACCAGAAACAGCAACAAGAAGAATGGACAGAGATTATCTCTGAATAGAAGTTGGGTGTGGGAGAGTGAGGTGGGGATTTTAGATTTCCCTTCTCAGAACTGTTGAACTGTCTGTGAATGTGTGTTGTTGAAATAAAATAAAATAAATTAAGTTAAATTAATTTTAAAATTCAAATGAATTCTTAATTTTTTAAGGAATAAGAACATTGATATGGAAAAGAGGGGGGGGGGGAGAGGCTTAGTGAATTATTTTTCCCTTTCCCCAAGACTTTTCCTCTTTCCAACCAAGGAGAAGCCTCTGATTTGGTTAAAAAAAAATGTCACCCCGGGAAAGGAAACAAACCCAGCAGTCTTTATTTAAGAAAGTAAAAGCCAAGAGATTCCAGATCTTTTTGTTTGAGGGACTCAATATCTCCTCAAGCAAACCTACAAATTGCTCAACTGGGAGAAAGGAGTTCTGTTGTGCAAACTTTGGCAGAATTATGATTCTGGAAGGGTGCTTTCTCAATGGGGACCTAAGAAGCAAGTGCCAGTTATATTCTGTAACTATGTTAAATGAACAATTCTCTGTTGTAGATTTCATCATTACAATTTATTCTCAAGTAGAGATGATGTTATACTGGCCAAAAATGGGTTATGAAAGGAGATTGGCAAAGATGATGGCTTTCTTTAAAGAATTCAGTTTTCTTTTCTTTTCTTTTTCTTTTTTGGTACCAGGGGTTGAATTCAGGGGAACTTAAACACTATGCCACCTCTTGAGCACTTTTTTGTATTTTATTTTGAGACAGTTGAGACAGGATCTCTCTGAATTCCTTAGGGCCTTGCTAAGTTGCTGGGGCTGGCTTTGCACTTGTGATCCTCCTGCCTCAGCCTCCCAAGTCACTGGGATTACTGGCATGCACCACCGCTACCCAGCTCACTTTTCTTTTTGGAGAAGAGTTTGAAAATAGAGACCCAGCAGGGGAGAATGGGGAGGTGGGGGTAGCCCAAGGCATCTGAAGATGAGAGAGCTTCATTTCAAGTCTTTTCTTCCACAATAGATGGGGCAGCTACTTAGGGCTAAAAAAAGCCACAAGGAGAAATACAATGACAAAGGGCTTATTACAATGTTGATATATATTTTGACACTCTAATAATTAAAGTATAGCACCGGCATAAAGATCCACTGAGAGATGAAAGAAGCACAACCCGAAAACAGAGGCTCATTCACATGGGGAACTAGAAAGGCCTGTGAAAGGTTAGTTGTATGATGTGCTGAGGAGACTGAACTCCAAGCCCAGGAGCCTCCAGACCCCAGCCCCTAAGCCTCTGCATCCCAACTGTGGGGTAGACACAGTGGGGTGTACTGGACATAAAGATGATCTATAGCATGGCTCTGTGGATGGGTGTGGAACTGTGGCTGATGACCAGAGGTCTCCCTGATGAACTGACTCTTGCAGGACCTCAAGTTTTGCATAACCTGCAAGTTAGGGAATATCCAACTGTTGTATGACTTTCAAATTGGGGGACATTTGTAATGCATAAGACTGAATTCCCCATTCACCTGATGGGACAGGTGCTTAACATCTTGATATTAATTAATGTTCTTGAAATTAAGTATGATTCTATGAAGTCATTTTGACTAGAAGTTTCCACTTATCTTTTATTTACAAGATATTTCATACAAACAAAAATGTGTAAAATAAGAATAAAATTGTCACCTCTGTTCTTACTCCCAGGCATGAGAAAAAAAAATATTACTAGTACTGTCATAATCATTTCCATATCCCTGATCTCAGAGATCAACATCAGTCTGAATTTCATGCTAATGATTCTTTTGCTTCTATTTACCATTTTATCACAAAAATGTATCCCATGGAAAATATTATTTAGCTTTGTATATTTTTGCATTTTTTAGAAATGGAATAATATAGAAACCATTTTTCCCTCACTCATCTTTATATTTTGAGATTCAGTCAAGGCACTGCTGCTAAGATGACTAGCACAATTTAATTATCCATATTTCTGTTAATGGAGATTTGGGTTATTGTCCATATTTTGCTATTAGGAATGATGCTCCTATGAATATTCTTATACATGTCTCCCTGTGCATGCATATAAAATATTCTCCAGATCTATATTTTCTGGGTATTACTCTTTTCTCAACTGGTTTTACCAATTCATACCTCTGCCAACAGTGTGCGTGAACTCCCATGGGAAGTGTTTGAGATAGTCTGATTTTTTAACCTGTTTAAACCTAGGGGTTTCATGCGACTTTCAAGGAAAGAAAATTTAAGGAGTTAACTGCAAATAAACCCTCAATCACTAAAGGCAATTACAAAGTTTGTACTCTTGGCAAAAGAAAATTGATAACAGGTGGGCAGTCCAAAATGCAAGAAGAAAGAGTGAACAGTGATAAAGATAAATTCAGAATTCCAGGTTGCTAGCCAGGGTCACTCTCCTCTGCAGCTTGTTGCTGTCATTCCTTGAATGGCAAAGGCTAGGATTTACTAAAGTTAGGTCTCTTCCCAAAAGTGTGTGTGCATTTTTCAGATAATAAAATGAATGGAAAATATTATTGATTATTCTTTAGAGAGGAGGATACTGAGTCATAGAGAGGTAACTTGCCAAAATGTACT